CCCTGGGCCCCCGAAACAGAGCATGTGAACTTAACCACTATGCCACCAGGCTGGCCCCTCACTGTCCATCTTTTACACCAGCTTTGTCGGAACTAACCTGAAGTTCCCCAAATGCTGATTTACACATTAGGGCCTTTGAACATGCTTTTTGTTCTGTCTAAATGTCTCCTATCACCCTCCTATTTCATTTTGCCTAGCAAACTCCTACTCTTCTTCAAAACCTTGGGGGCTTCCCATCACCTTCACAGGTGCAGCCCACCACTTATTCCTTGGTACCACCAGGCCTTGACCACACCTCTACTATACACTTAAGAAGAGCTTCCTGAGGACAGGGACTCTTTCACTGACCCTTGTATCCAGAAGGCCTTGTACAGCAAGTCGACAAGTTCCTCTACTTGGTTTCTACTTCTAAAAGGAAGGTACTAAGTCTATATGGTAAAAAGTCCAGTGTAATGTTAAGTGTATGAGCTACAGAGGCAGACAGTTGGGCCCAATTTTCTCTTCTGATACCAACTGGAGGAAAGTACTCTGAATAAGCTTCTCACAAAGTTCTAAGGATAGGTGTGCCTGGGCTCTGAGTCACAGATCAATAATAGGTGGAGTGGAAGGAGGAACGAGGAGGGCTCTTTAATATTTGTGTATGATGAATTTTTTAATAGTCAGCATTTATTCAGTGCAGTGTAATTCTTTTAGAACATTACAAAATTAAAAAACAAAAAATTTTAAAATAAACAATAGAGAAAAAAGAAGTTCGCTGAAAGTTATTGATTAATTATTAGCATTACAATTCCAAAGTCTGTTCCAGTGTCTAAACCCCTCTAGGCAATTCCAACTAATTTCACTTTGCAAATTCTAGACTGTTAAAGTCTAGAATTTGCCTAGTCTCTTAATTACAAATGTACATTTCTACAAATAAAGTCTATCTTTCAAGCTAATCTAATGAGAACCAGAAATATAAATCTAATTAGACCCAAAATCTTGAGAATTATTTACACATGAGGCCATTAATTGTATCATATAATAGTCATCAACTGGAGATATAGCATTCTCCTGAAACAGTACAATTCTGGTTTTCAAATACTTGAGATTATCTGCAATTATCCCAAGGTGTGCCACAAAACACTCAAAATGATTAATTTATTTTAATTTTTAAAATGTGTGTGTGTGTATGCATAATACCACACTTGATGTGAGAAAGTGAAGAATTTGCAAAGAAGTGAATAAGCAAATATGAAACATGTCAACTCAAAAAGGTTGTAAATCAACATCTTAAACAATGATCCAACAATCCTTTGAGGAGCAGAAGCAACTACTCCAAGCAGCCTTGCAGTTTATACCAGTATAAGTCACAAAGCTAGTGAGGGGCACAGCCAGGATTCCAACCCAGGCTGTCTGGCTCAAGCCAAAACACTGAGGCACTCAAGTGCTCTTAACCACTATGTTAAGCTGACTCTCATTGACCATCTCAAAGCTTTGGTTGAACATCATGCTCAGTACATCTAATTAAACATGAGCTATCACCACAATACTATACCATTAAAAACAATGCCATTTTTCTCATCAACTGTAGTGACATTTTTGTGTGAAATTTTTTTCCTTTGGTAGCAACCAGAACAAAGTAGGGCCCATGTTGTGTGGTTTAACTTTAATACAGAAGTTTGCAAAAAGACTCTGAGAACCACTCTTCAGCATGATAGTTCAAAAGAATAACAAAACACAATGCAACCTCTCACCCAGATGTGTGCTAGGAACAGTACTATCTCGATGGAAAAAAAATTATTTTCACAAAAGTATATCTACAGTATTAGATAATCTAACATAGTTTATGGGAAAAAGAAAAACCATAGCAAATTCAGGGTGAATAATTTCAAGGAGAACTTTAACAAGAGAAAAACAGCCAATAAGAAGAGAAAAAAATAGAAATGTCTTTGTAGGTTAAATAGTCATGGGTCAGGGCCGGCCCCGTGGCTTGGTGGTTAAGTGAGCGCGCTCCACTGCTGGCGACCCGGGTTCGGATCCCGGGCTCGCACCGACGCGCTGCTTCTCTGGCCATGCTGAGGCCGCGTCCCACATACAGCAACTAGAAGGATGTGCAGCTATGACACACAACTATCTACTGGGGCTTTGGGGGGAAAAAAATAAATAAATAAAATCTTTAAAAAAAAAAAAAAAATAGTCATGGGTCATTTAACAATGGGGATGAGTTCTGAGAAATGTATCACTAGGCAATTTCGTCGCTGTGCAAACATCAGAGTGTACTTAACACAAACTTAGATGGTATAGCCTATTACATAACTAGGTTATATGGTATTAATCTTATGGGACCACTGTTGTATATGTGGTCAGTCCTGGAGGAAAACCGTCGCTATGCAGCACGTGACTGTAGTGCTATATCATCTCTACCCCCAGTCACTTACAGCGGGGCTCAGAAAACTATGGCCCAAGAGCCAAATCCAATCCACTGCCTGCTTTTGTAAGTAGGATTTTTTTGGAACACAGCTCTGCCCATTGATTTACTCATTGTCAATGACTGCTTTCACACAATGACAATGTTGAGTAGCTGCTCCAGAGACTGTACACAAAGTCTAAAATATTTACCATCTGCCTCCTTACAGAAAAAGTTTACCAACCCTTACTTCATTTCTTTTACAGTACTTAACATTCTCTAAAATTATTTATTTTTTTGTTTACTCAATTATTGTCTGACCTCTCCACTAGAATGCAAACTTCATGAAGAAAAAGACTTTGTTCTCCACTGTATTTCTAGCGCCCAGAACAGCACATGGCACATAGAAAGCAATAAAGGTGCTGAATGAATGGCGTTTATTGAGAGAAAGAAAGGAGAACATTCTATATCTTCCCATTCTCTCCTAGATACACTCCAACTATTCACCCCACCGATTCCACCAGAACAGGTCTATCAACGTGATAAATCCAATGGTTAATTCTCAGTTCTCATCTTATTTGACCCATCAGCAGCATCTGACCCAGTTGGTCTACATCCTTCTCTATGTGACTTTCAGAACACCACATTCTCTTCGTTTTCCTCCTACCCTACTGGCCCTTCCTTAGTCTCCTATGCTGGTGCTATCTCATTTCCCCAACCTCTTTTTTTTTTTTTTTTAAGATTTTATTTATTTATTTTTTCCCCCCAAAGCCCAGTAGACAGTTGTATGTCATAGCTGCACATTCTTCTAGTTGCTGTATGTGGGACGCGGCCTCAGCATGACCAGAGAAGCGGTGTGTCGGTGCGCAGCCAGGATCCGAACCCGGGCCGCCAGCAGCAGAGCGCACGCACTTAACCGCTAAGCCACGGGGCCGGCCCACCCCAACCTCTTAATGTTGGTGTGCTCCAAGGCTCAGTCTTTCACACTTTTCTCTCAGTCTACACTTATTTCCTTGGTGAGCTCATCTGGTCTCATGACTACTCTTAGGCATTTCAAACTTAACTAGCTCAAAACCAAAACCAAACTCTTAATCTTTCCCCTCAAACCTGTTCCTTTAACAGCCTTCACCAACGCAGTAACTGAGAACATCACCCTTCCAGATGCTCAAGCCAAAAACTCTTGGGAGTCAACCAACCCTCATTCTGTTACACTCCATAGCCAATCCACCATCAAACCCTGCTGGCTCTAGCTTACAAAAATATACTAGGTTAATGATCACTTCTCACCACCTCCACTGCTACCATCCTGGTCCAGGCCATATCATCTCTTCCCTGAGACGATGTAATAGCCCCCTGACTATAAGTCTCTCTGCTTCCACCCTTGCTCCCTTACAGTCTACTCTCAACAGACCAGCCAGGGTGATCATGTTTAAAATGAAAATCAGCAAGTTGCTGCACGCTCAAAAACTCCAACAGCCAGCTAGCTCTCTTTCCCACTCAGAGTTAACGTCTCACACAGTTTGGTCCCCTGCAACACTGTTGCCTCCACTCCAGACACACAGGCCTCCATGCCCATCCTAGAGCACGTCAAGCAGGATTCCCTCTCAGCACCTTTACACTAGCTGAAAGGCTCTCCCGGTTCAATTGAAGGAACCAAGACTCCTGAATGGCACTTCCATGAACTCTTGTGTCACCTAACTCGCATAACAACTCTGTGAGGTAGGTATTGATAGCGCCACTTGACAGATTAGGAAAGTGAGGTTTACAGGCCACCTATCTAACAAACGATGGAGTTAGGGTTCAACCCCGATTAGTCTGCACAGACCACGAGCTCTCCGTGAAGTTTTGGGGGGCTAAAAGGAGCGGACTCATGGTATTCCTCTGAAGTCATAGTGATTGCAACTGCTAAAGGTGCATGCTAACAGAGAAGAGTACGAGAAAGGGCAGTCCAAGAGAGAAGAGGAGAACCAGGAGAGGAAGACACCCAAGCCAAGAGTGGAAAGTTTCAAAGAAAAGAGAGGGGTGTCAAATGGAACTGAGATATCCAGAAGCCCAAGAACCAAGCACACAACTCAAGCAAACCGCACCTGTGTAGACAGCAACTCAGATCTTGATTAAAAAATAATATTGGCCAGAGATATCCTATTAGGTACTCCCACTTACACAAGTGTGTGAAAGTAGACTGTAGTTAAGCATGTGATTAAGCAAAAGAGCTTCACCCCTAGGTTTTCCTCAGGCCCAGGGAGGCAAAGTTTCTGAAGGCGGTGGGGGCGGGGTAGGGGTATGACCGGCATTTAAGTTTCAGAAGGCAAAGAAAACAGTAACTCTCTTCTTCCCGACTCCCTGTTGGGTATGTGGGACCACCGCAGACTACACCCCAGATGTTCTCGAAGAGGCCAGAGCGGCAGCCAGGAGCGGAGGGTGCGTCGGCCCTCACCACAAATTCTTCCAGCAACTTCTCGCCTACGCCCCATTCTTCTCCGTCCACAATCATGACAGGAGACACCAACCCGCAAGATCCCCCTCTCATCCCCATCCCCCAGCCATACCCGGGACCCGCCCCGGAGAAGCCCCACACCCCGCAGTAGCCCGGGCGTGACAGACCCCGCCTCACCACGGCTCCGGCCACGGCGTGGACGAGGCTTTCGTAGGACAGCACGGAAGCCATCGGTGCGGTGCGCCGCAGACCCAACCACACTCTTCCCACAGGACCCACAGCCAGGCCAGCGAGTAAAAAAAGCGCCGTAGGCCACGGGACGGCCGTCACAAGCTCCACCTCTGAGGCCCGCCTCCTCCAGAGCAACCACTTCCGGGTCGCAAGTCGCCGGGTCTCCGGGCCAGGGTCAGCCGGGACCGGAAGAGGGGCGGAGAGCCTGGGAACGCCCCTTGGCTCTGGTTGGCCCCAGGGGCGAGTGCGGGCGGGGCCTCGCGGCCGTGGAGCGGTCCAACAGCCTGCAATCCGGCGCCCGCCTCCTGAGTCTGACGGGAGTTCTCTCGCGTTCCGCGACCTGGCCACTCGCGCTGCACACCTACTCCCAAAGCACTGGGGAATGCGGAAAGCCTAGATGGCCTCCTTTTTCTCTATTTCCCTCCTTCACCTGACAAGCTGGTGACAGGCAAGATGCAGGACTCAAGGTTTCCTGTTTCTCTGAGACTTCTCTCGTATGTTCTCTCGCTAGTATTTGAACAACCCTGGGCTGTGGTGGGGAGACAACTTGAGCTTCAGATCAAAACGCTCAGATGCAGGTGGGAACATACTCGTTGGCAACAGGGAGTCACTTAACCGCTTTTGGTTTCCTCCTTTGTGAAACGACAGTGTTAATACTAACACCTCCACTTGCTGTAAGGATTACAAAAGCTAACTTATGTACACGTACTTTATAAAACACTGAAGAAGTTTTTCCTCCAGGTTGTAAAGTGAAGAACCAAATTACACAAAACTAGAGAAACCACATCCACCTCTAACCTAGGTCATATTGTGAGACGTTGTTTCAGGACTCCAACTTCTTTACTAGGGCACCATTGTCACGTGTCTCTGCCACTTTCAGTACCAAGAAGTTTACTTTTATAATACCTTCGCTGATAGTTCTTGAGTACTTAATGCCAGACTCAGTGCTTTATGCCCATTATCACATTTACTCCCCAGGAGAAGGCCCTCACAGTGTTCACCTAGTCATGTTTTCACAAAATTGGCAGAAAATATTTTAATCGCCATTAAGATCTCTTTCCACTTAAACTCCCCTTCATTTAGGGTGATGCTAGTGACCACGAGCTAACTGAAAGGTGAGTTGGGGACACAGCTGGATTTAGTGCTATCTATTTATATGTATGGTTAAGTTACCGCTAGACGTTCTGTTATAAGAATGGCTTCCAGGAATACTCCAACCACTCCCTAGGGTCATTACATAAAGGCGCAGGTCCAAAACTCAAATGAAGATAGGATTCCGGCACTGGAGAGACAGAGCTGGTCCATTGTAAAATTTAAGCAGAGGACTCAGTTCTCATTGACCCCTAATCAAAGTGGAAGCTCTCTCCTGTCAAGAATGTACTGGATTATGTAGCACACAGATTTACAAACACTTGACAAATACTCTCCCTTTATGATGGTAATTGAACACAATAGAATTTATCAGAATTCCCATTGTAGGGCACGAACCCAGAGCAGATAGCATGTCCATCCCTATGAATTCTTTTGCATCCCACTTCTCAAAAAATATTTTAATCAACATGGAATTATCTTTCTATTCTACTGAAAACACTACCAAGTTGTCATATAATCAGAGTATGCAGTGAAAAAGGTAGCAATTACACATGCACATCACTTAGTAAATGGAACTATTTCTGTAGTTATGATGTTTATTTCCAATTTTTAAAAATCATAGTTGTAATGCTCATCTCCAATTTTTTTGGGGGAGGGGGTGAGGATGATTGGCCCTGAGCCAACATTTGTTGCCAATTTTCCTCTTTTTGCATGAGGAAGATTGGCTCTAAGTTAACATCTGTGCCAGTTGTCCTCTATTTTGCATGTGGGTCGTCATCACAGCATGGCTTGACGAGCGTAGGTGCGCATCCGGGATCAGAACCTGTCAACTCCGGCCGTCAAAGCAGAGCACACCAAACTCAACCACTACGCCACCAGGCCAGCCCCCTATTTCCAATTTTTAACAATCGTAACTTTTTTGCTTCTTTTTGTTCTACACACTTTTACATCTAATTTAGTATTCATAATTACATACTTTCCTTAGAGGGCTCCCTCAATTATATAAAAGCACCAAGTCCCCCACACTATGCAAACAATATAAGATTCAGCATCATTCTGTTTACACCCAAGCCATCAATACAAAATGAGTTAAAGGAACCTAGCCAGAACTGATCATTTCATGTATGCTGCTTCTATACTGGCATACTTATGCTTAAGTTAAACTGCCACCTGAAAATGTCCTAGTCACCTGGATGACTGAAGTACTTAAGAACATCCTAATTACCTAGATACCTAGATTTCCAGAGCACCATACATGTGTTTATGCTATTTCTATTCACCTCCTTGCTATTCTGGCACCACCTTAGAATCCACAATTTTAAAATTAGTATTTCACCTAAAAAGAATGTCAGAATTTTTAGTTTATTGTCAGACAACTTCATAGAAAATTGTGAATTTACACTCCCACCAGCACTACACAAAAGATCTCCCTGAATAATTGCTAAGATACTTAAAACTTCTGCCAACTTGACATGCCATACTCAAAGTTGGCCATTTTTAAAGCTTAACAGCTACTGTTAATCATCTATATTTGTTGCCTGTTTACTTTAGGATATTTTCCTCCCCAAACTGTATGTGCTCTATTAAGTATGCTATATTGGTTGTAAAGATTGAACTAGATTACAATTACTGTACCATGGGGGCAGCCCGGTGGCGTAGCGGTCAAGTGTGTGCGCTCCGCTGCTGGTGGCCCGGGTTTGGATCCCGAGCGCACACTGACACACCACTTGTCAGGCCATGCTCTAGTGGCATCCCACACAAAGTGGAGGAAGACGTGCATGGATGTTAGCTCAGGGCCAGTCTTCCTCAGCAAGAGGAGGATTGACATGGATGTTAGCTCAAGGCTGATCTTCCTCACACACACAAAAATAAATATAAAATAAAATTACCATATTTTTTGTGTGTGTGTGAGATCAGCCCGGTGCTAACATCTGCCAATCCTCCTCTTTTTTTGCTGAGGAAGACTGGCCCTGGGCTAACATTCACGCCCATCTTCCTCCACTTTATGTGGGATGCCGCCACAGCATGGCTTGCCAAACAGTGCGTGGGTGCACGCCCGGGATCCGAACCAGAAAAACCCGGGCTGCTGCAGCGGAGCACGCACACTTAACCACTTGTGCCACCAGGCCGGCCCCAAAACTACCATAATTTTTAAAGATTTTATTTATTTTATTTTTTGCCCCCAAAGCCCCAGTAGATAGTTGCATGTCATAGCTGCACACCCTTCTAGTTGCTGTATGTGGGACTCGGCCTCAGGATGGACAGAGAAGTGGTGCCTCGATGCGCACCCGGGATCCGAACCCGGGCCGCCAGCATTGCAGCGCGCGCACTTAACCACCAAGCCACAGGGCCAGCCCATCCATAATTTTTAAAACTAGTTCTTTTCTTGTCCCTGTCATTGGGCCTGTCACAAGTGGGCCAAGCACTTTAATTATGCTGGGTCCCTTCTTATCAGGAGAAACCCATTGGATATGCACATGAGCACACCCAAAGGATGTGTGATATTCCTTATTTAACCAATCCCCTTCAAATGCACATTTTGGTTGTTTTCAATTTCTTGAAGTAATGAACAATTCTGCAAGAAGCAACCTTGTACAGAGAGGGGGAGCAGAGCATAGAATTAAGGAGGAAGATTTCTGAAGCCATAAGCCTGGTGAGAACCCCAGCTCCACATACAATCAGGAGTGTTATCCTGGGCTATTTACTTGTAGTCCTTCAGTTTCCTCATCTATATAAAATGGGGATAAGAGTACTTACTCCTACGCTCATCATCAGAGTCAATACTTGCAAACTGATTACAAAGTAGTTGACATACAGTAAGTACTACTTACCTGATACATGTGTCTACTTGGGTGCATTGATTTTAAGATTTTATTTATTCATTTTTTCCCCCAAAGCCCCAGTAGATAGTTGTATGTCGTAGGTTCACATCCTTCTAGTTGCTGTACGCGGGACTCGGCCTCGGGTTGGACGGAGATGTGGTGCCTCGGGGCGCGCCCGGGATCCGAACCCGGGCCGCCAGCATCAGAGCGCGCGCACTTAACCGCCAAGCCACGGAGCCGGCCCTAGTGCATTGATTTTAGATATTAGCAAATCTCTAAAATTTAGTTGTTTCTCCCTTGTCCCATTAGGCCAGTATTTCCTAGTGTGACAGACTGCTAGTTGTTATCCCAGGTCTTTTTCCCATTTCTTCTGTTGTAGTAATTTTTTTGTTGGACATGTGACCACACAGCTTTGGACTATTATTTTCTAGCTTTCCTTGCAGCTAAATATGGTCACAAGACAAAAAAAAAAAAAAAAGCTGACCAATGGGATATGAGGAGAAGTAATAAAATGTTAATTCCATGTATTAGCCTCAAGATCTCAGTATATGCTTCCCTGGCACCCTCTCCTTTTTCCTCAGGCTAGAAGATGAGCACCAGAGCAAGCACTTTTGGACCCAGAAACGGAAGCTACCTTTTGAGTATGGCAGAACTGCTTACCTCTGGACTGCTACCTGAAAGAAAAGTAAAGCTGTTTTACTTAGTCGAATGTATTTTTAGGGGTCTTTGTTAATAGTACTTTATAATCTTAAGCCTACTATGCTCAGTAAATAACTTAAGATGAACACTAGAAACATAAAATAGAACATGTGCTGGAAAAAAGGGGGCCAAGGAGGGGGAGAGTCAATATCCAGTTCGACCATAAGTTTATTTTTAACGTAGCTAGAACTATCCAATAACTTTATACTTTTGAGCAGGAAAAAAAATCTCCTTTACTTTTCCCTTCTTATAGCATTATTAGCCCATGAAAAGAACATTTCTAGTTTAGAAATGATATTGAGTTTCTATGAAAAATGGAGAATGTATTTCGTATTTGTGGAAGTTAAGAGTCTAAAAGCATAGGACACATTTTCAAAAGACCAATTTTACTTTTACCCACTTATGGTAATATTGCAATGTTAGAATGTACTTAGGTAACGTATAGTTGAGTAAATCAAATGAGGAATCCAGAAGCAACTGGTCTTCTTGAGTTATTCACAGCACACAGTGGAAATTTTGAGAAAAGAGAACACACATTAACAAAAAGAACACCGGCAAGCTCAAACACAAGTTTATATGCTGAGTATTTCTAAAGGGCTTAAAAAGCATGCTCAATTAGCATACAGCTTTTTCTCACTTATATAACAGAGGCATTTCTATCTGCTTGTGTACAACAAAGGGTTAGAACCTGAATCAACTTATGATTTCAGAAATGTGCTATTTCAGAAATGTATTCCATGGAATATATTTCACAGCTCCTACCACTGATTCTTCAAATAAGCATAGAGGGTCTCATCCCTTGAAACTGCTTCTAAACGCTAGCACTTTAAATTGAAAGATAGGTAGAAACCTAGCAATTCTTGGTACAGAGCCTGGACTTAGTCTTATTTAATATAAGAATTGGATGTATAACAGAAAATTTATCATTTTCTTTATCCTTGGAGGAGAGGGAAAGAGAAAAAGGAGAGGTGGAGCTATGGTTGCAGTATTTAAGAGCTGAATAGGAGAACAATGAATCTTGCACAATGCCAACAACTCCACAATGAAGAACAACCATGGATCACATCAATTTTATAATTTATGCTGGATCAAGAAGTTAGGTTCCCCTCTATGTATAATTCAAACCTCATCCTCTCCAAAATAGAAAGATGAATACCTCAAGATAAACTCTAACTGCAACAGTATTTCCTAAGTAGAAGACCAAACACCCAAAGGAGTCCCTCCTTCCAACATCTGTTGATATAAGATTTCATTGAAGTGGAAATCTAACATTTAAATACAAAATCACTTGGCCAAGTAAGAAACTACAGCTGTTACGGGTATTACCCTACATAGTCACTATATGTATTACATATTAAATTAAACCCAGCATTAAATATGCTTGCACAATTATGCTGTGAGTGATAGCAGTAATGCTAGTGAAAAAGGACTAGCTTTAGCCCAAGAAGAGTAAGGGGAAAAAAATGTGAAAACAAGTAGAAAGCAGACAAAGAGTTGGGCATTTTCTGACGAGGAAAAATAATTTTAAACATAGAAATATAAAAAGAAAAGTATTCCCTTATTTCCCCCATGTGGAAATAATATGAAACATTTATTTTATATGTCAGACAAGAACACAACTAAGTAACCCAACTCTACTGCAGCATTATAAAAATCATCCCTTCACCACAGTGTAAGATTTAAATGCATCTGCACAAGGGCACATGTTATATAAAATGTAGTAAGACTGTGGCTATCCTGCCAAGTACTTCCAGTCCCTACCCAGGTTCTACTGCAATACTGGTGGTCCCAATAGTTTTATCGAAATAAATCATTTTTTAAAAAATAAAGCATTTAAAAGGACAAATCAAAATGCCTCACTAACCATATATATCCAACTCAAACTTTATCTACTTAAATGTTATATTTGCCTTCTGCTGATAAACCTTTATTTCATTCAAACTGAGCAATAAATCTTCCATACTGAAGTATTTTTCTTGCCCAATTAACTCAAAGGAAAAAAACAAAATGATTAGTAAAGAAAAATGTAGAGATTTAACACACCCTTTTAATTTGTTTTTAAATATTTTTAAGATTTAAAAAGTGTTTAAAGTTTGTAATTCCTAGTAGGAAAACATTATCTGAATGAATACCCTAATGGCAAACCACTTTAAAATGTTTCAGCTGCATTTGGGGCAGAGGGGTAGGGATTATCTTCAAAGCACCCCAGCTTTCTTCACAAGAAGGTCAGAGGTACACTGGTTTGTATTATTGCGACATCCATTAGGTGATCTAAGTTGCTTTTCCTTCAGCAAGGGCTTTATTTGTCAGAAGGGCATTATGCTTGACCTCCAAATTTGGCTGATAATTTGCTGATGAGATTCATAACCTTTGGGTTGCTCTGATATTTTGACATATTTGCCGGGTTCTGGGCCACATCCTGGAAGGCCGCCATGACTTCTGGATCCTGCAAAGAAAGGTGTTTTTTAGTATTTAAAAGTGTTCTATGGGTCAACAAGTTTATCATCTTAAATCATATCTTTATTTAGACCTATAATTTTGTCATGGCCAAGTTAACTAGGGTTTGGACAAGTCCCTGAAGTATAAATATTATTAATGTGTACTTCAAAGTCAAACTCAATTATATCACTTTAACTAGATAATGAAAAAAAGCATATACAATTTTTTTTTTTTTTTTCTGTGGGGGGACTAGCCCTGAGCTAACATCCGATGCCAATCTTTCCCTTTTTTCTTGAGGAAGACTGGCCCTGAGCTAACATCCGTGACCATCTTCCTCTACTTTATATGGGACGCCACCACAGCATGGCTTAACAAGCGGTGCGTTGGTGCACACCCAGGATCCGAACCAGCGAACCCCGGGCTGCCGCAGCAGTGCGCGCGCACTTAACTGCTTGTGCCACCAGGCCAGCCCCAGCATATACAATTTTGATACAAAGAAAAGGACAATTGGATATAATTACCAACTATTACAGAGGATATCCTATAAACAAATTTTTAAAAACTTAAGCTACTCATTCTGAAAAAAGAACATGAATGTCACAACTGCATAATTAGCTATTTGGTAATTCAGATCAATAAAACATGCTAACAGAGTAACCTCTGTCTCCACACAGACTTATGAAAGAAATGCCTTAGTGATATAAAGTCCATGTTCTTCCAAGTCTTACCTGCATGGCTGCAAGAACCTCTGGATCACTAAGAATTTCATTGAGCCCAGGCATCCCTGCCATTCCAGGCATGCCCCCTCCCATTCCAGGCATTCCTCCAGGAAAATTACCAGGCATTCCCCCAGGAAAGCCACCTGCAAGAATAAATGAAAGAACGTACAGACACCAACCATATTCCCAAGTAGTTTGACAGTATACTATTTCCTTCCGGATTAAAATAACACACACACTCACACGTGCATGCACCAAGAACAAGGGTGTTACTAAACCCAAAGTAGTCTGACCATTCTAACTGGAAGTAAGAAGATAATTTTTACCTTCAAATTTTCTCTTAAAAACTAAGGCTGTAAATCACACTTTGCTACTTTCTGGATTCATTTTTCCCTAGTAATAAAACTGTTAAGAAAACTAATCTTACCTTAAAATAAAGAGAAAGCTAACAGTCCCTTGGAATTACAAAATTATAAAGTCTAATAAGTCATCTTATATCTTATCTTCTCATTCTTTAATATTATTTGTTTCAACTTAAGTTAATTCATGTTTTTCTTCTTTTTAAAACCACAGTCCTCTAAAGCAGCTTTTTCTTCAAGAACTACATGAAATGCTTGTTATAAAAAGCTGTGGATTTTTATCTTCACTCCAGACAGAATAAAAATTTCTGAAAGTGAAACTGAAAATCTGCATTTTTAACAAGCACTCCTCGTGTTTCTTCTTTGCACTGAGAACAATGCTCTAACAAAAATGATTTAATTCTCCCAGTATCTTTTTAGATTATAAACCTGAATTATTTGCTACTCAGTTTTTCAGTACCATAAACCTTTATGTCCACTGGAGATATTCTGAAATCACAACTAGCCAATGTAGGGACATCCTAAAGGGAAATACAGGTAACATTAATGTGTTCTACAGATTAAGAGTTTCTACAAGTAAAGCCCTCATAAAAAAGAAACAAAGATGATAACAAAGTCATTTCCACCTGGCTCAACAATTTAAACATGCCGATAAATAAATAACAATCACAGATAAGGAGATCTAAGGGGCTCTGAAAGCAACAACTAGCTTCTTTTGCTGCCCCTACTGGCTTTGAAAACCTAGCCTCTACCCACGAAAAGATTACTGGTGCAAGGCAACGACAGTTAACCAGTCTGCTTGTTAAATCTAGATAATAAAATCCATATAACAAAAGATTATCTCTAGTTCTAGTCCACATTGGTGGTCATTTTCTAAAACAAAGGTACCCGACGTAAGATTATTTTGTGAGGAAGATTAGCCTTGAGCTAACATCCATTGCCAATTCTCTTTTTGCAGAGGAAGAGTGGCCCTGGGCTAACATCCGTGCCCATCTTCCTCTACTTTATATGGGACAGCGCCACAGCATGGCTTGACAAGCAATGCCTCAGTCTGCGCCGGGGATCTGAACCTGTGAACCCCAGGCCGCCAAAGCAGAGTGCATGAACTTAACTGCTACGCCACCAGGCCAGCCCCAAGATTCTTTAAACAGGAAGTAAGCTATGAGCTAAAATTTATTTTCTTCCTTTTTCTTCAAACAGCAAGTCATCCCCAATCAATATATGTTCTTCTTTTTGTTTTAGTTGCTTGGCACTTGCTTGACCTCTCAGAATAGAGGGTACCTTTACCTTTTCTAGCCTCTGACCATGTAAGTGAAGTTCCACCCGGTGGCATATAAGCCTAACTGGTGTGTAGTTGCCTCTATAAACCTTCCTTTAAGAGAAATCTGGTTACTATTAAACAGCTGGAGGCAGCCGATTCCCCATTAGAATTACAAACTTTAAAAAAAATCTCCTCCTGATCTTTTTTATAATTTTTTATTTTTATTTATTTTTTTCCCCCAAAGCCCCAGCAGATAGTTGTATGTCATAGCTGCACATCCTTCTAGTTGCTGTATGTGGGACGCGGCCTCAGCATGGCCAGAGAAGCAGTGTGTTGGT